ATCTGTGCCTTCTTGCAGCACCCACAGACTTCCTAGCTAGCACCCACAGATTTCCTAGCTGGCACCCACAGATTTCCTAGCTGGCACCCACAGACTTCCTAGCTGGCCCCCACAGACTTCCTAGCTAGCACCCACAGATTTCCTAGCTAGCACCCACAGATTTTTTGGCAACATATATGAAAGTTGCTAGCTACTTTTTTGCTCCACTTTCCAGCGAACTGCCTAGTTCTATTTCTCAGCATATGTTTATAGCTAGACACCCTTGATTCTCAGTTTGTCTGTTATGACATTCCTATTAATGTCAATTAGTTGAATAACTTTTATTTCACTTTATGTTTTTCTTCTCGAATCCCTCCATGTACATATAGGTGTTCTAAGAATAATTTTTCTTCACATATTTTTTATTGTATTCTTATGATTAAAAGTTCTGTTTGAATTATTTCTACTTAGGACAGTGTTTCTCTCCTTTCTTGTTTCTAATTCCTAACCAGGGTTAGCCCTGGCACCCTTCACTGCCCTATTGATTTACTGTACATTAGGCTTCCACTCCATTTCATTTTCACTATTAGCGACGCTTATTTATTTCAGTGCCCATATAGGGAGAAGCCCCCTTATAAAATCATCCACTTATTTAGGTAACAATGATAAAAGAAATACAAAACAGCCGAACGTGAAGAGCGTCCACATCTCAGCCTGGGTAAATAGGAACAATATCCTTAATGTAACCACGCTTAGTTACAAAGGTTATGGAGTGTGGCTCACAGAGGAAACATCCAACTAAGATAAGAAAGGCAGCTGTTAGTCACAAATATTGATACGGTACCAGCCAGGGGTCAAGTCCTGGGGAAAAAAGTGTGGGAACTCTCCCAAAAAAAACCAAAACACTTGTATGTATGTATATGTATGTGTATATATATATATATATACACACACACATACACACGCGTGCACACACACATACACTCACACAGTGGTGTATTTTAATTTTATGCTGCCCTAGACATGACTATAGAGCACCCCCCTAATCTAAATTTACCACTCCTTCATGTCAAGGGCGCACCGCTTCTTGATTAAGAACCCACCCCTTCCTCTTTAGACTCCACCTTTTCCTGCTCCTTTTAAAGAAATACTATAGTGCCAGGAAAACAAAGTTGTTTTCCTGGCACTATAATTCCATATAGTGCCCCCCTCCTCTCATGTCCTCCCCTCCCCCACTCGACACTGGAGGGGTTAAAATCCTATGGGTATTTAGCAGATGCTGGATGTCCTCATGCACAGGGTGAGGGCGTCCAGCATCAGTTAGGTGACTTTTGGTCACCTAACCACCCGAAAGTCCCTCTAGTGGCTGTCTGATAGACAGCCACTAGACTTGGAGTTACCCCTCAGGTAATTATTGCAGTTTATGAGAAGGTTTAAGGGGACTGGGACACTGCACCCAGACCACTTCAAGGAGTTGAAGTAGTCTGGGTGCCTATAGTGTCCCTTTAAGCACACTCTCTGACAGACACCCACACTGGCAGATACACACTGACAGTAACACACACATTCAATGACAAACACACAGACTTCACTGATTTGACACACACATTCACTGACACACACTCATTCATTGACAGAGAGACACACACTAATAGTCACACACACACTAAATGACAGACTCTCACTTATTTGACAGAAACTTACAATAATGTATGCACATACATGCAATTGCAAACATACACATGCATACACTAACAGAAGCACATACACTCACATACACACGTACAAACGCTAACAGACATAAATACACTCCTACACACACTGAGACAAACAGACATCCACAGACAGACATCCACAGACAGACATCCACACATCCAGACATCCACACATCCAGACATCCACACATCCAGACATCCACACATCCAGACGTCCACAAACAGACGTCCAGATATCCACAAACAGACATCCACATCCACACATCCACAAACAGACATCCACACATCCACAGACATCCACATCCACACATCCACAAACAGACATCCACACATCCACAGACATCCACACATCCACAAACAGACATCCACACATCCACAGACATCCACACATCCACAGACATCCACACATCCACAGACATCCACACATCCACAGACATCCACACATACACAGACATCCACACATACACAGACATCCACACATACACACATCCACAAACAGACATCCACACATCCACAAACAGACATCCACACATCCACAAACAGACATACAGACATCCACACATCCACAAACAGACATCCACACATCCACAAACAGACATACAGACATCCACACATCCACAAACAGACATCCACACATACATCCACAGACATCCACAGACATCCACAAACAGACATCCACACATCCACAGACATCCACACATCCACAGACATCCACAAACAGACATCCACAAACAGACATCCACACATCCACACATCCACAGACATCCACACTCCACAGACATCCACACACACACAGACATCCACACACAGACATCCACATCCACAAACAGACATCCACAGACATCCACAAACAGACATCCACAAACAGACATCCACAAACAGACATCCACAAACAGACATCCACAAACAGACATCCACAAACAGACATCCACAGACATCCACAGACATCCACAGACATCCACAAACAGACATCCACACATCCACAAACCCACATCCACAAACAGACATCCACACATACACAGACATCCACACATACACAGACATCCACACATCCACAGACAGACATCCACACATCCACAGACATCCACAAACATCCACACATCCACAAACAGACATAGACATCCACACATACACAGACATCCACACATACACAGACATCCACAAACAGACATACATATATACAAAATAATAATAATATAAAAAAATTAACATATCCCACCCACCCAGCATCCCTACCTTTCCCTGGGGTCCAGTGGGGCTGCAGTGAGGACGGCTCTCTCCCTGTCACACGCGGAGAGGGAGCTGTGTGCTCTCTGCTCCCTCTCGGCGCGCGGGATGTCTGCTGATTTTGGGAGCCGGAATATGACGTCATCAACCCGGCTCCCATCATCAGCAGACATCCCGCGCGGCGAGAGGGAGCAGAGAGCACACAGCTCCCTCTCCGCGTGTGACAGGAAGAGAGCCGTTCACCGGGGGGCAATCCATCAGGTTGCCCCCCCCATGACAGGGGAAACAAGGGGGGGCATTTGGGGGCGGCATTTTTTGCCGCCCCCTGAGTGCCTGCAGGGGGAACGGCGTTCCTGCTGTGAAAAAAGTGCAGGAACGCCGTTCCCACGCGTTCCTGCAGGACTCGAGCCCTGGTATTGGTGGAATATTCTATTCTATTTTTTTATATGTTTAAAATTCAATTACATAGGGCGTATACAAAATGACATAAGGTTTGCCTGCTTTACAATAATTGGTTATATAAGAAAAAATAGGTGGTAACTTAGTATTATTCGATATCTATGATTAAAGCCATACGTTTATGATGTTTTGGTAAGTTACACACAAAGACCTTCTACAGACTTCTAATTACATGATGGAATGAATGATTGCCTATAGAAATGTGAACCTTCACAGGAATTCAGGCTTACAAGGCTAGGTCAAAGGTTATTATAGGCAGGATCTACAAGTCTCCATTCATCATTCTTGACTTAAAACCATATGTGTGTAAATTACAGTATGTGCATAAATTACATTATGATGGTAATGTATCTGGGTAGGCCCCTCGATGTCTGGATATGCTTAGAATAATAACTTACAATATTTCTACATTCCTACAACACGTTGAGTACATTTAAAGTTCATAAAAATATTTTTCACTGTACAGTTGGGGTCCAGGGTGGGTGGTGGTGAGCGTCCCATGTTCCATACCCTCGGAATCAGGGATGGGTGTAAGTGCCCCTTGTCTACTGTGACCTACTGTTTGTGTCTCGGGTCCATGTGCCAATCCAGCACTCTCTGTAGGACAGACACTTGGTGGTATTTGCACAGGTACAGGAGTGCTAGGCCCCCCCCAGGGCCTCGGGAGGCACAGTATGTCGTGTCAGAGGCGAGCCTGGTTCCCGTTCCACACGAAGCGGATCATGGAGGTGCGTAGTGATGAGGAGAATGACGCTGGTAAGGCCAGGGGTACTGTTTGGTAGAGGTAGAGTATTCTAGGTAGTATGTTCATCTTCAGTACTGCAATTCTGCCAAACCAAGATATGTAGGGGTATGACCATTTCTTCAGGTCCTGTTGGAGGAGGGGTAGGTAGTTTGTCTGGTATAGCTCATTCATATCAGTAATGAGGGTTATTCCAAGGTAGCGCATGTGGGACAGACATCAGTGGAAGGGGTATTGATGTTTCAGGGCTTCGGTTTCTGGCGTGGGCAAAGTGAGGTTGAGTACTTCAAATTTCGTCATATTCACTTTAAAGTCTGACAGTTCTCCGTATTCCTCAAGCAGTTCCATCAGTCTGGGTAGAGTGATTTCTGGGTCGGTAACGAAGAATAGGAGGTCGTCCGAGTAAGCATCTACTTTGTGTGTTGTGGACTGCCACGGGAAGCCCTGTATTTCTTTTGACTGTCGGACCACCTCCAGGAAGGGCTCGAGGGAGAGTGCAAAAAGCATGGGAGAAAGTGGGCAGCCCTGCCTCGTGCCATTCCGTATCTGGAAAGTGTCTGTAAGTGCACCGTTCACCCTTACCTTTGCGTTTGGATTTTTATATAGTGCTTTGATCTATAGCCTCATGTTTTCGCCGAGTCCTATCTCCCGTAGTGTGCTCATGAGAAAGAGAGAGCCAGTTCACTCGGTCGAATGCCTTTTCAGCATCTGTGGATAAGCGGAGGATCTGAGCTTTGGATTGCTGTGTTAGGTGTTGGATCGATAGGGCTCTCAGGGTACTATCCCTGGCTTTTCTCCCGGGTACGAATCTGGTTTGGTCTGGATGGATGAGTTTTGGCATTAGGGGGCCCAGTCTGTAGGAGAGTATTTTCTTGAGGAGTTTCACATCCACGTTGAAGAGGGAAATTGGCCTGTAGCTGTCACAGAGTTCAGGGTCTTTCCCTGGTTTGGGGAGGACTGTGATGGTGTGAGCTAGTGATTCCTGGTGGATTTGGGCCTCCGTGAGGGCGTTGAAGGCTTGGGTGAGTTCCAGGAGGAGGATGGGTTTAAATTTTTTGTAATATTCCAGGGGTGAAGCCGTCTGGTCCAGGCGCGCGTCCTGTTTTAGCCACTTTGATCGCTCCAGCTACCTATGCTTCTGTGATTGGGGCCTCCAGTGGTTCCGTCTCGTCTGGTTGGAGCCTCTTCGTGATGTATTTCGTCAGGTATCCGTGTATCCTGCGTTGTTTATCAGCGTCTTCCGCTCGCTCTGTGGAGTGAACTCCAGTGGATAGTTCACATTGCACACAACATCTTGACTTGTGCAAAAAAATTATACTGCTGGTATTTGGCCCTTTACAGAATAGCTCATATCTTCATCCTAAAGCGTGACACCAGGCTACAAACAGTACAATAGGGATTGTCCTGCTGAAATCAGAACTGTTGAGAGGCCCACGCTAGGAGCTGTCCAGAAAGGTTTCTTTGCATTGGAAGTGCTCAGGAACAGTTGGTGCTTCCTGGCAATCTGGCTGCGTAGCTGTAAAAATCGAGAGCCGACTTTAGCTTTGCGATATCCCACAACTCCCAAACATATATGAAAATAATGGTTTCCTCATGTTCAGGGTACTGTGGGGATTCTTTCAGGTTGTGTTATATTTTAGGAGAGTAATTGATGGCACCAATTTAAGTCTGATTCCGCAGGGGGCATGGCAGTTGGTAAGAATAATCCTCGTTGTTTGAATCTGAACCCTGATATAAAACACAGAGATGATAGAATTACAAACTAGCAAATAAATTATATCCTACAATCCCCACATTTTACAAATATAGTGCATTCAATCTATTCCAATGACAACAGTGCTCAATGTCTGTGTAAAACCTGCTTTGTAATAATGGGAAACATTGCAGGAGAACATCCTCTGTTTGTCACTCACCTGAACATTTCATCTTCATCCCCACAACATGTCCAAAGAGGAATACTAAACTGACTGCAGCAAATATTAAATAAGAATGCCTGGTGATGTATTCCTTATTATCTAATTAACAAAGAGAAACAAGTTAAATATGTCAATTGGAACCTGATCAAATAGTTATATTTACTATAAAATTGTATATTTAGATAAAAGGTGAATTGATTATGTTTTTAAGAAATAAATGTCGAAAAGGAAAGATGTGTGGGAAAAATACTGAAAGTAGTTCATATACATAGTGTTGTGCTTTAGGACAACTTAGAACTACACTTTGTGGATTAAATGGTAGTGGTGGAGGAAGCGTTCGGTGGAATTGGGAAACCAGAGGTGGTTCAATGAGTATGTATATAAAGTGCAACATGGTGAGTTAAAGGCACAAGTTATGTGCAACATTTAGGCCTATTGTATTATGGGAAAAGGTTATATGCAGCAATAGTTGGAGTTATAGAGTAAGATATAATCAAGCAATAGGCAAGATTGAACATATAAAATAAATCTGAAATCTATGCAGAGATTATAGAGTGAGGGGGGGGCATACTGACTCACAATATTGTTTTGTAATTTAATATGTTGCAACAGGAAAGCAGGGCAGGACAGAAAGATATATAAAAAGTAGGAACAAAGCATTTAATCAAATTACATAAACTTGAGAGAAAGAAACTGATTTAAAAATAACTGCATATTAGGACAGATACACTAACTGATCTTTCATGCAACTTACCCCACGTCACAATGAGTGTCTCATTCAGGCTGCTGTGATCCACATGGCAGGAGTATTTCTCCCTCTCATCTGGCAGTACTTCCACTGTGACTGTGATCTGATAGGTGCCATCAGTATTGGGGAGGACCTGCTTTGTCTCATCGAATGGAATCTCTATCCCGTTTCTCTTCCAAATCACATCCACATCCCGAGGGTAAAACCCGTACACCTGGCAGTGAAGCTTTGAGACCCCATCTGATTGCTGGCTGGAAACCTTCACCTCTGGGGGAACTGATGTTAAAGAAACAGTTTAAAATCATTGTCACTATCTCAACCTTCTACATCTATATGACCTCAGGGATAACACATAGGAATAGTTTGTCCTATTATTACTGCAGTTACCCTCCCCTTTTCATATGCAGCTCTGGTGCTTCTAGAGAGCGGGAAAAAAGCACAAATGGATTTTTGATTTTCCCAAATATCTGATTAAATCCTATGAGAAGCTGTGTAAATCAAGAAATGGAAAATACCTGGCTTTTCAATGGGCTTGTATTCCTCCTCCATTGCACTTACTCCAAAATTGGGAGATACCCCTTTAATTAACACATTAACCAAATTGGAAGATATTGGCAGATGTATTTATATCTAACACAACAACCTATGTGGAATCAATTTCACAAAAGGAGAAAAGAAAAAACAATGTTTAAAAAACAGAATTGGGCCATTTTCACAGGATTGTAAGGTAAGAATTGTCAGGAATTCAAAGTGAATTTTAAATATAATGTCCCTTTACTGAATAACCGTGACAGTAATTAGAGGAAGAGAGACAAACAATGGGGGAGATTTATCAAGGTTTCCTTCCTATGGTTTCTATTTTCTGTCTTCTGATACAATGTGCGTCCTGGCTGTGCAAACTCTTAGTATGTTAGTAAAATATTGCTGCATTTCATGGGAATTGATTAATACAGTTTGTTAGGTTTATAAATATTTTATAAATGCAGAAGTTTATAAGAAATAAAAATAACACAACACAGTCTCAGTTTAACCTGATAACAATAGTAACAGTCTGAATAGCGAGCAGCATGTCTAGATCAGCAAATACTGGAATAATCAAGGTTTTACCCAGAGCTGATAGCATT